GCCTGCCAGAGGCACAGGGCGTGCCCTGGGTTGGCAGATTTCCAGCCCCTCAGCTTCCGAGCGAGCTGCCCTTATACTGCACACAGAGCACAAGCAAGCAGTCTCCCAGGTCCTCTGCTGGGGACCCTGACCAGAACTGGGGCCCTGCAAGTGCCCTGTACCCTTCAGTGGTCCCTGGGACTGGAGGGAATGGCCCCATGGGTGTGAGACTCTACTCTAGCCCCAGGAACCACATGTCGTACCGGTGATGATGAAGTGAGGTCACTTGGGCACCAGCTTGATGATCTGGTGACCTGACGCACAGTGACCTCGTCAGTCTCCCCCTTTTCTGGGCAGTTGGGAAGAAGGACTTTATGCCAAGTTAGGGGTTTGAGTGAGCTTCATAAATTGGAGCCTGGGGCTTACAGGGCTGGAGACTGTGCTGGGGGTGGGGGCCCTGCCAGGCTGGAGCAGCGGCCAAGTGGGGAAGCATGGTGGAGGGGATTCTGTGCAGAATTGAGGGGTGCAGTATTGCGAAGTAGAAATTCATTCTCCTTGTTTATCTTGGGTCCCCTTCCCACAGTGGGTACCAGGCCAAACTGGGAGCTCCTCCATTAGGGATAGAATTACCTCTGACTCCAGTGGGAGCCCTCCTTGCCTGAGCTCCTGGTCTCCCCTCATCTTTTACCCAAGTAGCCTCCTCCCCAGTCCTGCTGTCCAGTGTGGTTGCCGAAAGTACTCCCCATCTAATACCCCAGACATTCAAGAAGCTCCTGTTATTCAGGCAGGGCCCCAAGGAAAAGTGACCCATCCCTCCCACAATGAGGAAATGCAGGGGAGGGTGACTGACACTCAGGGCAGTGACTTGTCTGCAGCTCATGGCGAGACAAAACAGACTCAGTGAGCAGGCTGACAGCATCTGTGGTGAAGGCATGTTGAAGGAAGACTGAAATTAGAACTTTAGGCTAAGAGGGACAAGAAAGATCCCTCACTTTGCTCGGACAGTGAGGAGACCTCCACACAGGGAGGTAGAGGAGAGACTGGGAAGATCTGGGTGAGAACAGAGGGATGAGTTGGTACAGGGTGGGCGGCAGGCATAGGCTGGGACGCCAGGGAGGCTTGGAGGCAGACAGGCCAGGTTGATGCCCTTGAGCTTCAGAGTTCCCAAGTCCTGCCTGGAGTGGGGAGCACCCCGGCAGTGACATGGCTATGGGGAAACCTGCTCAGTTCACTCCTTTTGTACTGCCTGTAGGAGCAGATGTCTGAGTGCCCAGACTGGACCACGCTGGCCTTACACGTGTCAGACGGCCACTGTGCCTCCCTTGCCAGCAGCATGAAGCAGCTGTCACTTTCCTTCCTTTTCAGTCTCCGTCCAAGGCAGGGCCCTGCACTGTTGCTCATTTGTGGAATCAGCTCCTTTAAGGAGGTTGCAAGTGAGTCTGCTCAGGAGTGTGTCTCAGATGTGATGGTGTGGCCCCTTCATTGCCCTGTGCTCTCTCTAGTCTCCCAGAAGGTGGGCTTTGGGACTGGGTTTGCCTGGCAGTACCTGAGACAGGCCTCCCAGGATGTTTGCTGCAGAGGAAACTGAGGTGCGGGCGTCCCTGCCTGCTTGGACAAAGACAGAGCTGGGAGAGCTTCAGTGTAGGCAAGCTGCAGGTGTAAATTGGGATTCTCTGAAGTGTTTGTATAGTGTGCTCCTCCCTGGGCCCCATGTTAGTGGATGTGGGTGCTGACTGTTTTATGGAGAATTGGTACTTCGAGAATTCAGGAGTCTGGCAGCCAGATTCTTTTTTTGTCCTCTAGTGAACTCTCGCATCACTTTTTAGACCCTGATTGTCCAAGTCTGTTTTCCTGCGTCCTGCCCTGTTGAGACATCAAGTCTGGGCCCCTTTAGATCGGGCCCCTTTAAGAGCGAGTGCTCGAGTCCCAGACTTGGTTGTGGAATGCCAGCAGTCTCCCTGCAGACAGACATCACTGCGGTCTTCCCTCCTGTCTCTGTGAGGGTTAACAACACTTCAGCTTGTTGTCTGGAACCGGTTCAGACTGGTTTTCTGGAAAGTGCTTTGTCTCTCAGACTGAATCCTGGGAAGGGTCATGTGGAGCCCAGTGATGTCATGGGATCAAAAACTGACTCAGCTGTTCTTTCTTTTCTTCCTTCTTTAAATCAAAATTTGTGTATGCTGCAGGTACAGGGTGCCGGCACAGTGATGGGCCAGGCCTCAGCCCAGTTAAAGTTCACCTTGTTGGCATTGGAAGGGTTAAATGTGACCCCCCACTCCTCACTCCCCTGAGATGAGCAGGGAGTGAAGAGGCCGCCTCTCACTGAAGGGGAGAAGGGTCAACTCGCATCAGCGCAGTGCAGGGCTAAACCCAGGCTGTGATCCTGCTCCTGGGACAGCGTGGTCTCTGCTTCCTGGATTCCAGATACCTCCAATCCAGTGTAGGTGCGCAGGATCCTGTAGGCAGGGAGTTCAGATCTAGAAAGTTTTCTTCTATTTGCTCTCGAGTCTGGACTGGAGAGATTTCCTCCTTCTTTCTGATAAATAGCCACTTTCCATTATTCGTGTCCAGGTCCCTGCTGGTCTCTGACCCCAAAAGGGGTGGCACATAGCTTGGCTTCCCAGATGCTCTGCTGCTCCTGTCCTAGTCTTCCCCAAGGCAGGGAAGAAATGTCCTGGGCACACTTAATGGGCCTTTTGTTTCTTGTACCTACTTCTTCCATTGTCACATGGCGAGGAAAACACCCCATGCTGACACTATGAAAAGTTTCTAAGAAGGTAACAGCTTCATTATGTCAAGTTAAATGTCATGTTTTCTCCTTCCCCCAAAGTTCAGAATGACTGAAGAAGCATGCCGAACACGGAGTCAGAAACGAGCACTTGAACGGGACCCAGCAGAGGACGATGTGGAGAGCAAGAAAATAAAAATGGAGAGAGGAGTGTTGGCTTCAGATTTAAACGCTGACGGAGATATAAGAGTGACGCCTGAGCCAGGAGCAGGCCCAGCCCAAGGGTTGCTGAGGGGGGCAGAGGCGATGGCCATGGGCAGAGGCGAAGGACAGGTGGGCGATGGGCCCGTGGACATGCGAACCTCACACAGGTGAGCAAGAGGGGACAGGAACCAGGGAAAGCCCTGGGTGGGAGGAGGTAGGGGTGAAGCCTCCCTCCAGGCCTGCTGGAAGCAGCTTTTGGTGGGTTATCATGGAGATGGCTGTGGGCTCCAGCCCTGTCACCTTCTCCATCAGTGGCCTCTCCCACCGTCCTAGCCTAGAGACTTACCTCTTGGGGGCCTGGGGCCTAGACATCAGTAGCATGGGGTGTGGGTCTCACAAGATGGGAGCCTCTGTTGGCTCCTCTGCTTGGCAGCAGATCTTCACTAAAATTGTACTTGCTCTCCAACTCTGTGCTTTTGATTTGTAGGAAAACTTGAATTTTTCATTTGGTCGTGCCTCCCTGCTTTTCAGGTTTGGGGCATGGGAGACCAGGGATGCTTCATAATGCCTGGGTCATGTGGCTAGGGTCAGAGTCTGGAACCCAGCCCAGGGTACCTCTCACATGCGCCACTGCTCCTCCTAGGCAGTGCATCATGGAAGAGGGATCCACTCTGTTCAGGTCTTCTGTAAGGTGCTCTGTTGGTTCCTCCTTAATTGAAACTGATTGCTTCAAGAGTTAACTTTCCCAATCTTCAGCTTTTGTGAGGTTCTTAAGGAAAAAGCTTGAAAGAAATAAGACTCAATGTACCACCCCATTTCTTCACTCAGAAATCTTTCTCCCTGTAAAGAGAAGTTCAGACCTAGGTCCTGCTCCTGCTGTCACTCCTCCCTTCAGAGCTCTGTTGAGAATCAGAATGTTCACACCTAGATGTCCCATGGTGGGTATGTGGGTGTGGCCATGGCCTCCTGAGAAGCCCCACATCCCCTGTCTGGTCCAGTTCATCCCTATCTCCCTCAACAGCCTCCCCTGCCGACTCTCCTCCATGTCTGTTTGCCCCGGGTAGGGTGAAGGGTGGTAGGTGCAGACCTGGGGAACCTAGGTGCTCCTTGTCATCTTGTGCTGACTGACCCCACAGAGGGACTCCTACTTGTAGTCTTTGTGTTAAATTCATTTTGGGGCACAGACTGTTGGCATCCTAAGGACTTCAGAGATTATTTGACCTAGCATTTCTCGGCTTTAAAAATTCTTACACCCTCTTGATAAATGGGAAAAATCTAACCCCCTCCTACTGGAGAAGCATCTTAGTCTGGGGGTATGTGCTTTGTGTTCCTGCTACCCAGAAAGGCCTTTCCTTCTGGCTCTGCTTTCTGTCCTTCCTGTTGTAAAACCAGAGATCTCCTTTAAAGTTCTAGAAATAAAACTGTAAATCTGGGTCTACTTCTCTCCCTCCTTAGCAGTGTCTCAGGTGAGTGAGAAGGATGAGCCCACATTTGTGGAGGTTTACCGGGTCCCTCTTGTCTTCTTAGGCTTCTGGTATACATTTTCTCCTGTAATCACCATGCTCCCCTGCAGGACAGGCCAGTAAGTTGTGAGGGAGAGGTTAAGAGTTGAAGGAGCATAGAATAATGCAAGGGAGCAAGAGAGAAATTAACCTGAGCACACAGAACAGGGGTCATCCTGCAGGACTAGAGATACCACAGGACATCCATGAAGCAGTGTGAGATTGTGAAAAGAGCCCAGCTTTGGCAGAGTGGGGTAAGAGCCCGGCTTTGCCTGATTGGTCTTGGGCAGATGATCTTAGCCGGTGCTTCTTCATTTGTAAAATGGGTGATAATTTCTGCTTTGCATCTCTGGATGACAGATATATATCCAGAATTAACCCTGGTGCATGATGTGTGGTGAGGGAAAGAAGTGTTGGTAACAGCTACCCTTCATTCAGTCTTAAGCTTCGCTTAAAATAATGATGTCGTGTGTGGAGTATGTAGAGCTAAGTGTCTCCCTGAGTTCCCACAGAGAACGTTTTGTATAGTTTGTTGGATAAGTACAGTTGTGAGTTTTGACAGAATCATAGGATTAAGTCCAGCCTACAGTCATTCTAAAACTGTAATCCTTTCTGGAGTGAGTGGTCACAATTTCTGTGTTAGAAGCAGGCAGTCTTTGGATCCTTGTTGAGAGCGTCTGGCTCGGGACATCCTGTGGGAACCTCCATATAGAGAATTCCATTTAATTGAGGTATAGCATACATAATAAAAAGTACACACGTGCCGCTTGATACATTTTCCAAACTGAGCACATCCTTGTAGCTCAAATTAAAAAACGTTACTAGCACCCTCATGCCTACTTGCTGTCACTACCCTGCAAGAGTAACTACTTTCTTGACTCTGAAGTTTTTCCTTCCTGTTTTTGTACTTAAAATAATTGAAATTATATAGTCTGTACCCTTTGCTTGCTTTCATTCAATATAGTGTTTGTGAGATTTACATTGTTGAGTGCAGGAATAGTGAATTCATTTTCAGTACTGTATAGTATTCTGTTTCTAGAATTTATGTTTGGGTCTAAAACTGCCTCATTCTTTCAGGCTGTCATATTCTTATGACCCAATTTGGGAATATTGAAGACCAGAGGGAGTTTCTTGTGGCTTGTATTATAGAGAATTTCCTTTTTCTTTAGGGAAGTGGCTGGTGAATTTAAATCACCAAGATACAACTTTTTTTTTTTTTTTAACTACATTGGGGCTATTTAGAATATGCAGAGATAGATAAAGGGGTGGGAATGAGTTCTCTCCTTCTCTGTGGTTCCCCTCTCCATCTCTCTTTGGCATTTTTTCTGACTTAGTCTTCCAATGTGTGTGTGTTTTACTTTTAAAATAAGGTTGGAGGACAACTACCAACAGTGATTGAGTGAGGAGAGACTGTCAAATCCTTTTCCTCCCAAAACAGTTATAAAGTAGGACAAAATTGACCTCCAAAAGTCAACCATTTCAGCACTATGGTAATCGACCAGAAGCAACAACAGCCTGAGAAGTGTTTGTGCTTAAGAAATGGCTGAATTTTGGATTACAACAATGAGAATCTGTGATATTTGGCTTGGGGCTCTTCCCATGCTTTCTCCCCAGCTTTGTGGGTAGGGAGGTTCTGCCTAGCTAGTGCAGGCTGTAAGGACCAACAGTTTTTCTGCAGGGGTAAGAAGGGACTCATTCAATTTAGTGTGGTCAGCAATGGCCCTGCCAGTGGTCTTGTTAGTTGAAGTGACAGTTTTGGAGATGAGCAAGTGGGGAGGGACACTGACTTGATTAGCCCAAGGTTGCAGTCATGGTTGGGGCAAGACAGAAAAGCTCTCTGAAGAAAAAGTGGCCAAAAATGTGTTTGAGAAGTTTATCCAAGAAGCTCAACAGACCTCAAGTAGCATAAAGTAGCATAAAGAGATCTATACCTAGACACATCATATTCCAACTATTGCAAGCCAGAGAAAAAGGGAAAAGCTTGAAAGTAACAAGAGAAAAGCAATTCATCAAATACAGGAGAAGCATTAATATAATTAACAGCTGACTTGTTGCCTGAGACATTCAAATGGAAACCAAAAGGGAACTGAATGACATTTAAAATATTCAAAGAAGAAAACTGTCAACCCAGAATTCTGGATGCATCAGAACTGTCCTTCAGAAGCAAAAGCAAAAGGGCATTTTCAGATAAACTAAAACAGAATTTGTTGCTGGCAGACCTGCTGTTTCTTCAGGCTGAAAGGAAATGACCTGTTGGTAACTTAGGTTCACGGGAAGAAATAAAGAGCACTGGAAATGGTAAATATGTGGGCTAATATTAAAAACTTCATTTTTTTCCTCATTTCTTCTTAGTTAAAAAGACATTATATCCTACAAAGCATTAAGTATAACACTGGATAGAATTGATAAAAACAACAATTTTAGCTCTCTAGAAATTGACCAAAAAGCATACAACAATCTATAGATGTAATACGTGTGATAACAGTAGTATGAAACAGGAAGAATGAAATGGAGCTATATTGGAGTGAAGTTTCTACATTTTACCGGGGTCAAGTTAGTGTTAATCTGAAGCAGATTGTGATAAATTAATGAAATGCTTATTATAATCCCTAGAAAATAACTTTAAAATATGGTTTAAAAAATTAGATCAACAGAAGAGTTTAGTGGTACATTAAAAAATATTTAACACAGAAGTCAATGAGGGACAGAAGAACAAAAATGGAGGAAGATATGTAGAAAACAAATATTTGGCAAAATGGCAAATGTAAATCCCATCGTATTAATAATTGCATTAAATATGAATGATCTAAAAACCCTCATCAAAAGGCAGAGATTGTTAGAGCAGATAAAAAAGCAAGATAAGCTTAATTATGTATTGTCTATGAGATACTCCTTAGATCTTTAGGTCAAAGAATAGGGAAAGAGAGACTGTAAGTAACCATAAGAAAACTAGAATGACTATTAATATCCAGTAAAATTGACTTTAAGACAAAAAATTCTGAGAGCCAAAGAGGGACATTTTTTAACGGTATGTTAGGAAGATTGGACAGTCACAGGTGTACATTCACCTAACCACAGAATCCCAAAATACCTGAGGCATAAGCTAGTAGGATTGCTAATAGAAACAGACAGTTCATCATTTATATTCAGAAATTTCAATACTTCACTCTCAATAATTGGTAGCGAAACTAAACAGAAAATCGACAAAATTCTGGAAAACTTGAAGAGTGCTGTTGACTCATTTGGCTTATGGGCGTCTGTAGAAGACTCCATCTGGTGAAGGCAGAATACATCTCACGTGTGCATGGAACATTCTCCAAGGTGGACCATATGCTTGGCCATAAAACAAATCTCAAGGATGGCTGTAATAAAAAAGACGGTAGTAACAAGCGTTGGTGAGGATGTGGAGAAACTGGAACCCTGATTCACTGCTGGTGGGAATGTAAAATGACATAAACAGTTTGGCAGTTTCTTAGGAAGTTAGACATAAACTTTCCCCATGACCCAACAATCTTATCTGAGGAAGGTGCTCAAGAGAAATGAAAGCATGTCCACCCAAAGGCCAGTACCTGGGTGTCCATAGCAGGATGATTCATAATAAGCAAAAAGTGGAAACAATCCAGATAGCCATGGATAAACAAAATATGCTATATCCATGCAGCATA